GTTCGGTACCAGTTGTGCTATCGCATGATTACGTCACATCAAACTGACATTTAATGTTTTAATGCAAAGGATTATGGTCACAAGATGGGAACAGGATGCCTTCATGTTAAATAAAATGTAGATAAGCAATCATGTCACTCAAAAGCGTGGTGTAATGGTGTTATTCATATTAACCCAGGTCATCATTAACGCGTTTGTATTTGATGAGCTCGCGTTATTTAAAAGCAGCCGTGACACAGATGGCAGCCTACATCATTATAGTAATCATKGTGTTTTACTAGGTGGGAAGACCGAGGAAGAGATGATCCTGTGCGATATGGTGTCACAAGAGGTAACTGAGATATGTCTTTTTACTKAGTCTTTTTACTATCAAACAAATTATGGGCTATTAGAAATCCAGCCTGCTGATTGGTTACTGAACAATGGTCTATTCATGATATTAAAATAAAAGCAAAAAAAATGTCGAGAAAATTATAGTTCCTTTTTAATGTTTTACCTGTAGCTAGGTGGATACTAAACTGTTAAACTATTTTAAGCTATTAACACTCGGTCTCATGAACTACGAGTTGTCAAGTATTGCATTATAGTTGTGTACCCCGATAAACTCATTAATTCGGTGATAATACACCCCCTACGAGTTTTTAACAATGGTTGGTTAGACAAATATACATGTCTCGCTGCAAACGCTGATTTGGACTAGAGCAAGGAATGTTAGTTATTATACTGATTTTTAAGATGCATTTTATTTCTTCACCTTTTTGTGGGTTAGGCTATGGATTTCATCATTGGATTTGTYAAAGCTACATATTTCTGCCAGAATTTCGTAAGTTTGTACATTAATCTGTATACACGATTTTCAAATACGATACTATCTTAATGCTATACTGTCAACAAAACGAAACATATTGTCTTGCAAAGAAAAGTACGAACAAAAACGTATTTTTATGTCCGATTCTCTATTAATTTTACTTTTTTTCGCTGAAAATGCTATATAATAAATATCTTATTAACCTCGCTTGCTCGAGCCGTATGGGAAGTTTATGGAACCTCGGTTTTTTTTTTTTTCACTTTTTATGTGGAGTATAAGTCAGTGGAAAAAAAACTCGGTCCATAACTTCCCGTAAGGCCATCGCGCTCGGTTAATAAGATATTAATATTTTATAGGATGACGACATCAAAGTTCTCTTGAAGAACATACGTACAAATGTCAGACGATACGCCAATCATCTTGGTCAGCGGCCTTACATGTCAGGAGAGAATGTAAGGATATTTAGAGATTCCCAGCATTCACTGAAATAACAGTGAATTTATTTATAAAGACTGTCTTTTACACGTGCAATTTTTGCATTGGTTGCGATTAAGTAAAAAAAAGCGAGAAATTATGCAGAATTGTCAGTGTTAACAACGTGACACTCATTGAAGCTAATGCCAAAAGGGATCATGGGAATTCTAATAATTAGTATTACAAGCGTGTACCCATGTTTCAGAACAAAGAACACTGTCTGCACTAAATGATAATGCATGTTCTCCTTTTTGAGAAATGTCAGATTATGTTTAGGAAAATATGACACAAATTTCTGTTATTTCACGATATATAATTTTTAAATTATCATKTTTGCTCTTGCAGCTTACATTTGCTGATTTTATTTTCTGGGAAGCAATGGATCAACTCCACACTCTTGATTCCACAGTGTTTGACGGGCATGACAACTTGAAGGTTTTTATAAAAAATAATAATAATATCACGTGAATGGTAAAATGTCGCCCGGTAAAAATAAGTTTACATAATGGAGGCTAAGACCGAATGACAGCTTGGGGAGGCAAATAATCGACACTACAGTAATGTGCAGTGGGCAGGAGTAGACACTATTATATGGGATAAAAAGGTGGAAACTAGCCGTAAACTAACTACTAGTGTGTGTGAGCTCCCTGCGGTGTTTCTTAAAAAAACCTAGTTGTTTCACCTATTTTTTACGGTGTTAAATTTATCTTTTTACACAACTGTTTCTGAGATATAAAAAGACAAATCGTGTGCCTTCCCAAAATCCTTTAGTTCATACTTTTGATTACATAGGAATCGATTCAAATAGATTTCTAATGGTGAAAAATAGAATTCCTGATAATTCTTGTTTACAGCTCAATTTCAATCATTTTCATSAGATTCAAAASWCAAAAGACCGGCGGCCCTTTTGGCTRAAAAACCAATAGATACTAATGAGAAATCCTTTGCTGAAGCTCAACCTAGATGTCACCTCTGACGTATAGACGTATACATTCAAACGAAGAATATAACCTTCCTAACTTTGACATCTACCTCTTAGGACTACTAAGCCTCTGAGGCTCGATATCAACAAAACAATTTTATTTTTATTTTTCAGGCTTACATGAAAAGAATCGCGGTAAGTTTGTTAGTAATTGTATATATGAATAAAAAATCGGCAGTCGAGTACTGCATGTGACTCAGGCCATTTAGAGATTTAGAGTACTTCGAATACAATGTAATACCTTCAGTATGCAATTTAACTCCACCCTACTCCAGAGAAAGATATGTAAAGCCTGTATCGTTTGCTATTTCCCGAGCTCAGCTCTGATTGGCTCGCTGATCCCTAAGGATTTTGGTATATTAGCATAGAACTTCACCGAATAGACTACCTCCTTTACATATTAAATTTCTATRAATGTCTTCGTAATGGGATTGTCTAAGAGGGTAGCTAAAGGTATGCTCTAGTGGGAGGCTACCCCCTCACTCCCTGGCCTTTTGGTTAAGACTAATTTTATGTTTACTCGAGATAGCGTGGAAGAGCTGAAATCTCTAAACGTAACGTAAGCCGATTCTACGCCTCAGCTGCGAGGTCCTAAGTTCCTCCTGAGCTCGAGTCCTCCGCGCTTATATGGAATTTGTCTTTTTTCGCTTGCTTATTGTTTCTTTTTCGTTTGTTTCTTGTTTTCTTTTCTTCTTTCTTGTTTTCTTTTCTTTTTTTCTTTGCTGTTGTTACTTCGTTTTCAACTCAAACATATCAAGGACTTGCAAGGAATGTCTGCTACAAGTGGGTGGTTACGGTTCGGTCACTCAACACGATTATTAGTGACGAGAGGCCCCAGTAGAAAGCCTTTCGTCACAAAAAGAGCATTTTGTATTCAGACTCACAGTCTGTTTTAGCTTTAGGCTTGGATTGAAGGCGTTCCTGATCACCATGCCATGCCATGTTCATACATCAACTTTCAGTTTCACTTTCTCTACATGATCTATATTAATGATGGTAACTGAACCGTGCGAGAGCAATTTGGTTCGAAATCAAACGCGTGATTCAAAATTGCACGACACGAAGTTAAATTACGAAATCTAGCACATTGTACAGCACACAATTTATTCGTACAAATACAATATTTGCTTCTCAAGGGAGTGTGATTWAGAGTTCAAAATGGTGCGATTTAGGCAGAAATTAACCTGCTAAGAACCAATCAGATTGCAGGATTCACTTGTGATTTCAAAATGGATATAATTAAACCATAAATACATGATAAACAGTCCTTATTCACGCCATGATGCCTTTTCATGTTGTGATATGGAAATTAGCCATGGCTTTAGTATTCCATGACGTAAACATTACAGGTGAGAAACAGCAAATGTTTGATCTACCGACTTGCTCCTATACCATTCATTCTTGCATGGAATATTATTTTAATTAAGACAATTAACAATCAGACCACGAGGTCGAGTGAACTACGAGTTAATAGTCCACGTGGCTGTACTCACTATGAACTCGTAGTTCACATCGTTTGTCCGGATGTGACGCAAGCTAGGATTCGGCGGCGTCAATGTCAATGTCAAATGGTTCGGGTRGATACATGATTTTAGTATTACCATACTAGTGGACTATTGCAAATCCTTCGTCCTSATTGGCTACGCTACTCGGGTTGTATTTTCAAATAGTCCTCGGCTGTAGTGAAAAGCGACAATTTTGATTTTCATTTAGAAATTGCRGGTCAAAAGAATGTGTTAAGGAYCATTTTAACCAGCTTTCACTAGCTGGTATACCCTGCGAACTAATCTCTTATTAGCCGAGCGCGAGGGCCGTACGGGAAGTTATGGACCGAGTTTTTTTCCACTGACTTATGACCAGAGCGCTAGCGCGAGGGCCGTACGGGAAGTTATGGACCGAGTTTTTTTCCACTGATTTATGGCCAGAGCGCGTAGCGAGAGGGCCATAAAAAGTGAAGAAAAAAAAAACGAGTCTCCATAACTTCCCGTACGKCTCGAGCAAAAGAAWGAGAAAGCGAAGAGAGAAAGCGAATTTTTTTAAGATAAAAAACGTTTTTTCTCGTTTCATCTGGTCCGTACAGGAAAGTATGGCCCGCTTTTTAGCCAATGAAATCGTGTGTTACATCCGAGCTATATAATAAAGAGTGTTATATATTCATATATTTCATTCAATTTTTTCATTCAACTAGTATAGTAATGCCAAAACATTTTTCGACCCCATGGACTTCGCCCGGAAGTCTAATTGTTAATTAGTCTCCTTAAAAGACAGTTTATACCYAACTCAGCATTTTGAAATGATGAATTCTCCAGGAGTAATCTCCCAGGGAGTTCGAACGAATACTCGGTTCTATTGTATTGATACGTGACGTCATTTCCTTTGTGTRTAGGACCTACCCGGAGTCAAAGAGTATCTAGTATCTGACCGTGCAAAGGCCAGGCCAATTAGCAACAAGATGGCTAAATGGGGAGTCAAAGCAATGCCAAGGCCTGACTTCTAAGTTGGTCTCAAGATTCTAAAGCCCTATTGTTGACTGCAAATCTTGACCAAGTTTAATAMATTGTAACGAAATAACTTTAAACTGAGTTCGTAGCTTTTATACGGAATAAGTACTCGATCGTCTTGGACGAAATTCTGGCGCGCAAAATCCCGACAGATATAAATGTTTGTACAAAATTCCATCACTGACGATCGAGGGGTAATATCGTTCAGTCATCCGAAGACCAAAAAAAAGTTTTCGTCTCTAGCATGAATCTAACTAGCTAAAAAAAATTTMTCAGGAAATTTATCAAACAATTTTTAAAGATAAGCTGTCAGAGAAAAGTTGGCGATATTTCATCGTTGATTCAGATACYGTAACAAAAAAATTCAATAATTTTCTCGAGTGCGTCACTGATGTCAATGGATGCAATGTAAAATGTTCAAAACTTTGCAATGATCCACTTAAGTTTCAATGAACATTCTTAGATGTCAAAAGTGTGTCAATAAGAGGACATAGAACTACCACCCTGATATTTTACAAACGCAGATAGAAGTTCAACATAAATACAGTCATATAGATAAAATCGAATGTCTAGAAATGTTTTCGATTTCCATTTGAMATACTCGAAATTCGAACAAGCTGTTCGTGAGCACATTTTACGACGCTGAAAAGAGTTCAACATGGACTGACGTGCGCTTAGATAATTAAAAACGAATATTCAAGAACCCTGCGACTTCGATGACATATTAATGTTATACGCTCGAAATGACTCAATCAAGCAGAAMTTGAACATACTTTATAACCACTAAAAACACTTCAGCATGAATACTTGAGTTTAGATYGTCTTTTTAGTAAAATGGAAGTCAGTGATAAAATAAAAACCCGGTATTTCACCTCATTGCTTCCTTTGTCATTGCAAATTTTACCCCGATGCGCGCTGCACAATAACGAAACTCCAAATGTTCATGCAAGTGTAGACATTTCTTTTGTTGCTGCAACTTTTCRCCTACGCATTAACCCTATGATCGCATCATTAGATGAATAAGTGCAAAACATTGCGCAAGGGATTACTATTTTATGAGATGTGAGATGTGGGACACCTTCAGTTCAATTCACGATGAACTGCTGCATAGTTCTGCTGTTTGTTCTGGCGAGAACAGTCTGTTCTGGTAAGTGAATTTGTGCAAACAAAGCCTTCCAATTGCATAAATATTGTATTTATAAAAATACAAATTCAACTCATAACACGACATAGCTGTTCCCATTTCAGCTTCTTTTTAATTTCTTTTTCGTTATCAATTTAAGATTAAAATCATGAGYTTTGTAAATTTAAGAGTATAATCAACGCTACACCAATGATAAGGGTAAACGCTTCAGTATAGTTCGGATTATAATATTTTTAATCAACAACTGTGCCTTAGTAATGGGATTTCCAAAAAATATCGGTCAGGATGAAAACTGAATAAAAATGTAAAGGCTTTTCTACTGACAAGACATCCTAAAKGGAAACTTACAGCTGGTGTACCTTCGTCGTGTCGTATTTACCATTTTGAAAAACTTATGCTCAAGTCTGTCCAAAGGGGAACTTTGGATTTCCCCTTTCACTTGTATTTAAAAATAAATAAAATGTTAAAAAAAAATAAAAAATCCAACGTTTTGCTGTTATTCTTTTTAGTGAGTTTTAAAAAATACAGCAATTGAAATTTCATTTCGAGTTAACAAATTCAAWTATCAAGACAGACTTACAGAAATTTATCATTTCAAGTGATAAAAAAAAATTATGGTAAAAAAAGATAGATTTATTAAAGTTTCTCGTGGTATGTCACCTTATTTCCTAAGGTTGGCATCAACTCGTCGGCATCAAAGTTATTAATTAAGCATCTTATCTTGGATGAATAATAATTTGAACGGTTTGATGAGCATGATGAGGCCATATAAACATGGATGGAGCAACGGCAATAATTCTTAAAAGGATTTTTTTTACATCTATTCTAAATGTATGCTTATTCTTGACCATTTTTCGCTATGATGTAGTCAAATATATAAATCCCCACAATGCCTTATCGTCATTAATTGAAAGTTGCTGAGCAAATGAAATCTTTTGTTTGCCTCTTCATGCTACAACACGAACTCACATAACAAAAAAAAACAACTTTAATAATTAACGAGCGTACTTTCGCTATAATCTAGTAAGTTTAAGTCTCGAAACTCGTTTTGTAAACATCTTTTACTAGCGGAATAATAATAATTTATAAATGCTCAATTGCCTCATAATACTTTTAAGTATTAAAAACGTACAAACTACTGAGTCAAGTGATTTAAAAAGAGTACAATTTTTCATCCAATGACGGAAACTCTCACAATCCATTTAAGCCCTTCTATAAATCTATATATCATTTTAATGATATATAAAATAATAACAAACAATAATTTATATATACTGGAACGTAACGACCTTAATTTGATATCAGTAGTTTAGGTAATGTTTACAACATGAGCGGCCGTGTTGTATGGAATTTTACAATCTCGAGCCGAAGGCGAGAGTTTGTAAAGCCCATACAACACGGACGCGAATGTTGTAAATTACTTGTGAAACGTTTAAAAGATAAAACTTAAAGATAAAATTGAATTTGGCTGTGAGAAAATTAGATTTGAAGTTTATGCAAATCAAGACAGTTTTGTATCAAATATTGCAACACTCTTCACAGTTGTGATTTCTATTGTGTTTTCCTTATTAAATTATTCATGAGTTTTACAATATCTTATAATCCAAACTCTTTCTCAATGTTATATATTATTAATATATTAGATGGTAGATATTTATGTGACATTGTTTGATTATAAATATATATAATATCAAACAGTCAACTAATGGCTATAATGATCAAGAAAGGGTCAATGAAGGAAAATTCGAGATACCATTCAAAGGACGAAACAAAAGTTATTTTAATAAAAATAAAAGGAATGGCCCAGCCACCTATCGTCATGTATCGTCTCCTACTGACAAAAAAAATGGCCCAACCTATACACGCATCTATTGATATCAAGGGAGGGGTTTCTTTGCGCTGTTGGGCTTCCCATTAAGSTTATAGTTCTTGATTGTTGTCCGCTTTTGTTCTCGAGTATCAGTCTTTGTTTCTCCCTTGTAAGTTTAGGACCCAACTATTTCAAAGTGCACATGGCACCCTTAGAAATTCATTCTCGTCCAAAAATTGGATTTAAAAAATTTTAAAAATTGATTTAAAATTTGATTTTCAAAGTTATGGGCTACTGAAACTTACAAAATGCAAATAAAGTGACGTCTACAAGGAATTATTCAATATACAAAATCGTGAAAGARGACGTTATTCTTTTTCTTACATTGGAATAGCAGAGGATATTGCGGAGCAAGTGAGAGATTTTCAACAYGAGAAGATAAAATTCGTATCTCCAAGTGACCATGTGAATATTCGTTCCTTTTATCATATAATTAAATATGAAAGCAAATCGTGTCGTAAAATACCTTTTTTCTTAATTCCACCATAGAAAGAAACCTCGAATGTGTTATTTTTACTAGTAACATGTTATTTTCACTAGTGAAAATATCAACTTTATGAAATGGAGAAACTATAGGTATTTCATAGATAATTATATGATAAAACATTTTCTGCTCGCAATTATTACTATGACTGATGATTTGAGCTCTTCGACCAAGAGCAACATAACATATGAACAATTTAAAAAGTGTTTTCTCTACAGAAGTGGCGTCTAAAAGGCGTCATGTGCACTTTTAAAATTAGAGGCCTATCTTTCGTAATTCGGCATTTTGTTACCGCTCCCACTGTCATCTTGAAAAGAAGCTTTTGCTGCGTCAAAAGAGAGAAAGTATTTTTAACTTAAACGTCTGCAAGTGTGGTGAAATATAAAGATCAAAGTCATTGAAATGAGTTCTATTACTTTGATTTGACATGCTTCATTTCCATACAATAAGTAACCCGAGCAAACACTCTAAAAGCGTATAGTCTGATCCAATTTCAAAGTAATACTATAAAATTAAGGGCAACACAATAAAAAAAAAACAATAAAAAAAGCCCCAATAGCAATATAGAAGAGAATGAYTACCTGTTACTACTATTTCAAGGATAGCCATAGCAGAGATACGTTGTTTCAATGAATGTAAACGCAACATCTTTTGTTAACATGCGCACAAATATCATAAGCATATTTATTATATTTACCTTTTCTCAAAAACGTTATGATCAAAGAGGTTTGAATAAAATCGGAACCTAACTAAGAGAGTCAAATTTACTCCAAAGGGGTTTAAAATTGCTCTGAGAAGCGGAGTCAAAACTGATTACTGCACAAGGTGCATGTAGCTAAATCCAGATGGAGTTAAAAACTACTCAAGAAAAGGAGTACCCCATTTTTTGACTTTTTTGATYCTTTTTCTATGAGTAATATCAATTCCTTTAAAATAACATTGTGTTAAAATGATGCTAAGAAACTATTTTATATTGCCATGCACATTTTGAAGTCACTTTTGYAGTTTTCCTTTCTCTGTTCAATCCACAGCCATAGTATTTGAGTGCACTTTTGAAAGTGACAGTTGCGGGTTTTCTCAATCTACATACAACCACTATGGGCTAAAATGGGAGAGAATAAAAGGAACRCCAGAGGGAACCAGTAGATTCACTAAGTGCTGYGCTAAAAGTGATCACACAACAGGTTCAGGTAWGTACAGAGTAACGCAAGAAGCTCCTTWCTTCYCTCTCTTGCTGGCGCTCTTATCTTGCGCGTGACTCTTGGTCTTGATAGTGTTTTCCCTTATGCCAAATCACCCACTTCAATGAATTTTATGTCTCAGTATGATTTTTTACAATTCAAACCATTCACAGTTTATTGCTATAACATTCATTTTCTAAGAACAAAAACGTGGATTACATCATATATGTTCTCTATCAAATTTTCAGGGACCGCGGAGAAGGGGGGGGGGGGGGGGGGGGGGGGGGGGGGATGGGCTGGGAGGCTACTCATAAAGGCTTATTCTCACAATTCAATAACACTGCTATTTCAATATCTAGGTTATTACTTTAACTGCAATGCAAGAAACTCCC